CTCGGAGGATCGCACCGCCCAACCACATACACACTCACACGAATTGCCACAGTTTTTCAAGAAATCCTTGCGTCCGTCATGCAGAAGTTGCGTAGGAAGTCCATGTCTGTCTGTCTGCTTGTCTGCAACGCTATATGTCTGTATGTCAGTAAGTCGGCATGTTTCCATCTACTTTACATGCCCTCCGCATAGGTGTATCTGCGACGCTTGAAAACCTTGAGTTCGAACTTAAATAGGCATCTTGCAGATATCGCGGATTTACAGCTCATTCCCAGGATGTCTTCAGCGAACTTTGTGAGTACGAGGAAACAGCGGCCGGGCGGCGAGGCACCGAGAAGAGGCCCCAAGTCAGCTTTTTGAGAGTATGCAAATTTGCGGAGCGCGGAGCAACCGAAGTGGAGAGAGTGGAAGTGAGAGAGAGCTTGAATTGGGACTTTTTCTATGCATTTACGCATTTTTTGCAGGTAACACGCCAGTCATCGCCCGGTTCTTGCACCAAAGTGCCTTCAGTCAAACGAACTCGCTCATTGCGACGTGCGTGGCAAGGTCGCCAGTATACGTGCAGCTTTGGGAGTGGAACTTTGACGATATTGCAAAGGAGTTTGGGTGGGTAGAGTCTATAGTCTATAGCCTACGACGGAGTGCTACAACCGACACTCATGGCATTCGTGGATGCTGTGCTTTGCATCTGCTCGTTACAAGCCGGCAATGTCGCGCGATAGCGACAAATTACGTACATGGCTGATTTGTAACAGTCCAGATGCCCCAGCCAGGAGTGTGTGAACTACCTTGGCCCCAACGGGATCGATGCCGTGCAGGTCTCACCGGTCACCGAGCACATCCTGGGGTCGGACGCTCGCAGAATGTAGGACTTCCATGTGTCAGCCTGTCATATTCTTGTGCTAGAGGAGCACGCATGTTAACAGACAACCAACCGGTCGACGAGTCAACAGCCGAGATTCCAAGAGCGAAAAGCATGTACCAAGTGTCAGTCTCCGCGACAGACCTTGCATCTTTGCTCAGAAGATGTTCTTAGGATTTACGCCGAAGCGTTCGGTCCATTTTTCTTGATCTACGGGGGGCCAAGAGCACGAGATGTAGCAGGTGAAATTCACCTTCAGCTGGTGAACAGTTTGGTCTGGCACGAGTGCATCTCAAGCAAGGGCGTCCGGACAACTGCAGTTGTTATGCCCTGAAGGCCTCCAATCCGCAAAAAACCGTCGAATTGTCACAGCGGATCTACGTTTTGCCAACCAAAACACCCACGCCAAGCTCGTGTCACCGCGGGGAGGCACAGTCGCCACCTCGTTTTTCCCAGAGATTTGCAAGGTATTAGAACGTGAGCAAAAGTGTTGTTCGTCTTTCTGATGATGTTTACAGCCACATGGCCTTGCTTGACAAAAGAGACGCACTTTCTCCAGTTTCGAGATTTTTGAAGGTGTTTCCGCAAGTATTGCACGGAAGCCTGGCAGAAGCAGAAGCGCTTCCTCTTGCAAGGAGTGGTACACCAAGTATCAGCCCGTTGGCTTTGGTCTCCACTCCCGTTCCGGCAGCGAGGCAGTGATTCCTTGGAGCCGAAAAGAGCCCGGAGCAAGCTCAAGCCGGATCCCGGAGAGCATTGGATCTCAGACATGATGTAGTTTGCCGCTAGCATCTGTTGAAGTCGACACCTCGTTGCAAGCACAAGACTTGCACGGCGCTGGCTTTCCTCTGTATTCAGCCGGTGTGCATCCTCGTGACCGGCTGTGCAGGCACAGTTCGCGCAGATGATTGCGAAATGCCGTGGTGCTGGCGTCCAGGTGTGGTCGAGAAGTGCAGAGGGCTGTGTACAGACATCTAGGGGGGCGTTTGCTCGGCCGAGTGCCGTTTTGACAGTGGCTCCCTTTCAATCCTCTGCTCTGCCACGCTCTCATTGTGATAAAGGTCATCGTGGATGTGATCTTGAATCACATTGCCGCGCCATGCCAGGCTGCCATCGAGGCTCTCTGGATTTTTTCGTACAGGTAGTGATTGGGTCATGTTGGACAAGTTTCGTACTATCCGGAGCATTCCATGTACTTCTTCCGGGCTGGTGCCGTGCGTTCGGCTGGGGAGCTGCTAACCCCGATTCCTGCCTCTGGAAGTGCACGAAGTTCTCACGTAGGCTTGATCTCGGCGCGAGCAGTGGTTCATGGCATCTCAGTCCGATGCTCGCCTCACTTCGATTCGGACCTTTTATCCGTGATGCCTTTAATAGCCGGCAGAGTTTCAGAGGCTGGTGGTGCGGCCGTGATGCCCTGCAAGGACTCCGGAACGCGATCAGTTGATTCGTTTGGGAATGTTTGGGATTCGGTACGACCATGTCTATGACTTTTCACTCATGCATGCGCTCCCCAGCAACCTGCAATCGCCGCCGAATCCTGTTTCAAGATTCATTCCGTTTTCTCCGTCCTGGCACCAGGGCTGGGCCGGGTCGGCCTATGGCAACCGGCGGATCAACTCTCAGGCGCTCCCAAGCTTTGACGTACGTGCGGCTTGTGGCCTTTGGCTCTGCCCTGCTACCCGGCGCCCTGCCTCATTTCTTGCTTTTGATGCTCGGAGGATGGCTGGAAGGGCCCGGAACTTTTCCACAACCGCCAGGCACGCGACACGGAACATCTCGGTTCTCAATTTTCTTTAGCTTGGTCTGCTTCTAATAACATGGAGTTTGGTCCGGAAAGCCATCCTGATGTAGGTGTGATCCAGATCTGAAAGAATGCTGTTGGGACGGATCCGTAGCAGCTACGCGCAGCGGCACCAGCGTCACTGCGCATTTGCTGTGTCGAGGAAATCGATGGCAACCGCCTTGGCAACTGCCCCGTGGAGGAGCCCAGCTTCACGTGCCCTCAGAGCAGCTCCTCTACGACGGGTCACGATTTCAGACGTTCTTGCTGTTTTTGGCACTGGGGTTTCTTGCTTAGACTTTGGAGCTTTTCGGAGCGCACAGACTTGCAACCTGCTCACACTACGTCGCCAGCTGCGCGGTAGCAGTGCCTGAGGCGAGCCCCCTGGTGACTGCACGAGATGTGACTTCAAGGGCCTCCCCGACGCTTTGGCTGGTAGCTTCATTGCATCGAGTTTGCGCCCCGCACCGAGAGAATCCGAGGACTGGAACACTGGCCTGCAGCCCACGCCTCTTGGAAAAAAGATGAAATGAGCTTGAGATGATTTATGCTTGCAGTAGAGCCATGACATGATGAAGCTTACATGAGACTTCTTTTTTCCCAGTGATTGCGTGGCTGGGACTCGCTCGAAGATGCTCCGAAGGCGCGACATCCTGACGAAGCATCTCACTGACTCCTGGCACAAATGCTGCGGCTGCCCCCGTTTCCTTGAAACAGCTATTCGAGCTTAATGATGAGGTTGGATCATAGACACCGGTCTCGTAGGTTGCTTTCGCCCTTGGCCGCCCTTGTCTTCCCACACAGCTCTGTTATGGTGGGAGTTGATTTCGGGCCTGGGCCGATCGCCATCACGCGAAGAATCACAAGCCACGAAGTACCGGCGAAACTCCTGGCGATTCTTGCTCAGTGGTCTCCCGACTGTTGGACCTGATCTGGACTCCGTGTGCAAGGCAGGATGAACGAACTGACATGAACTAGCTATCTACACAGGAGCGGCGTCCAAATCGCAGCCTCTGCAAATACATCCAAAGTCTGCACTGGGTTTCCTACCAACAACCTCCGTCGCTTCGAGGAGTTGCATGACCTTGGCGTGACGATGCTACGTCTTGATGCTGCAAGTTCCTTGGCAGCACCCCAGTGCAGACTCACCCGCAGACAGCGACCACGAAATTGCCCGTGCGCCAACCGATTGACCACCGTCCCTCTTGTGTCTCATCATGTAGCGGTTTCTTTTGGCCGCAATGTGCACTTACCCTGTTGTTGTTGTTGTTGTTGCTGTTGTTGCAAGCAGCTTCTTTCCAAGGGCTTGAGAAGATGAGCAGCTTCCCTACGAAACGTGCAATGAGCGTACCTGCTACAGATGCAATTTGTCGGGAGACACAGCCGCTGGTTTCCGAGCTAAGGTTATGTCTCTGTGGAGGATCTGGCAGTGAACTTGGACTGCACATAGCTTGCTGAGGCCCCAACCCGAAGTGAAGCAACGAACAGTTCACGCTCTTGACTTCTGACTTACCCCCTCACTCCTTGTTGTCCCTAGAGATTTTGCTGGTGAGGTAAGGCACCAAAAATAACTGAACTCTCGACCCGAAGCTTCCTTCGTTGGCGAAGACACCCTAGAATAGCGCGTTATATTGCGGCTTCTTCGAGGCTTCGAGGAAGATCCTGTCGCCGAGTGCCACATGTAGAAGCTCTGAGGATGCAGAATGATGCAGACGGCTCAACTTGAGAAGCACCCCGACCGTGGAAGAGGCTAAGAGAACGTTGGACAGTTCCGAGGCCACCCAAGGCCACCCAAGCTGGTGCAAGCCAGTGCCTGTGCAAGCCTGCGAGCAGCTGCCGAAGCCGAGGATCATCAATCAGTTGCCCTGGGACCTGGTGCACCTGGGCGGCAGTTCCCAGGGCTGAGTCGGACTGCTTCGGCTGTGTCATACGCCCTGCAGTCACTGTGGACCACACTAGGTACCAAGAGTGGTGGGGCGGCGTTCCGCTCGATGAGAGGACCACCAACTCGATTAGCCCTGTTAGCCCGGGCCATGGTTCCTTTTGACTTTGCTTGGCTGCCAGTCACGCGATAGAAGTCTGAATGCGGTGGAGGGAGCGCTTGCAAGGACGGTGGCAGTGGGCCACTACCGAGATCAGAAATACGGACTGAAGATTCTGAGCCGCAGTGAAGAAGCCGATCCATGTCGTTGCTGAAGCCAGTGGTAGCGTCGGCACCCCGGGACCCAAGAGGGTAACGATGGAGAGCGAGAGGGAGAGACGACTGGGTGGTCTGGGTTTGAACATGTGTTGAAAGGCTTCGACTCCCAGCAACGACTTCAGAGATATCCAGTATCCAGAGTAAGCCCTGGAGGAACACAAACTGTAGTGGAACGGAAATTACGCCTCGGGAAGCCAGAAAGACCCGATCGAGCGCTGCCACAGGGAGGTTTTGATTCGGGATGATAGCGATTGCGCGGTTTGTAAGCTGGTACAGCTGCAGCAGGCCAACCGCAAGCCGTCATACGGACCTCTAACACGTGGGACAAGGGCTGATCGCGAACCTGAAGATAAAGGACGTGCCAGGCTCCCTAGGGACACAGACTCCAGGCAAGCAAACAAGAATGCCAGCCGGAGAGAGGCAGAGGATCATGATACAGTCTGAGTGACAGTTTTGTAAGTGGCGATGCTGCACGCCAGCACGGCGAGATTGCCGGGTACGATCCCAAGTGAACCAAACCTGCCCGCAGATTTGCAAGTCAGTGCTTCCCTAAACCCATCACATCGAGGCGAGCCAAGAAATTCTTGCCAGCCTTTTCCCAAGCCACCCGAGACATAGGGTTTGGAGTCATGCCCTGACCGTTGCTAGACTCGATGGAAGGACGGAAGGTAGAGAGCGAGAGTGGGAGGGAGAGAGAGAGAGAGAGACATCGATGCCTTCGACGATCCCACAGACACCGGAGCTGTACAACAAGAACGTCCTCCACCTCGACAGGATCCGCCTGAGGAGCCAGAACCAGCGCACAAAGGGGATGCCCCCTCTGCAGCAGAAGCGGAGACTCATGGCCAGTCTGCTCCTGCCAGCCCCTCAGGGGAACCACCCACCCTTACACCCCAACAGCGGGCTCGCTTGCACCAGCTTTTACAGGAACGCGCTGCCTTCCCCTACCCCGCGAACACAGAGGGGACCACACCGGAGCCGGCGCCCAAACGCCCCAGCACGGAGCTACCTATGAGCAGAAATGGGCCCTCGGAACGTGAAGGCGTCGGAACTCCTCGCGCAGCTCATGCCCTCGTTGGTAGGGGGACCAAGTGGTCATCGCTAGCGAAACATTGGGCCACCTCAACTCGTGGACGCAAGGGCTGTGGGGACATCCCATACAGTTCGTGGGGGACTCAGAGTCAACGGAGATCGCCCCGAGGACATGGAGACCGTCCCATACCGGAGGAAGCGGAGCCCCAGCTGTGGAGCCGTCCACCGCCAGTGGACGAAGACATGCCGGGCACAGAGACGGAGGACGAGATGTGGGACCTCCGTCGGACCGGGGACGACGGCACCTACGACGAGCCCTACTACAAATAAGAAACCACCAACACCAAATAAAAACAGTGAGTGAGGCCAGCCCTGGGGACCTTGACAATCCCTTCGGATAGACGTCGCTAGGCCTCTCGCGACCTGTAGCTACTGTATTATGCTTCCCTCGTTTCTGCTTTGCCCAACTGCTGTATGTGCATCGGCTTGCCAACTAGGCAACAAATCGCTCTGAGGCAGAGGGGAACCCAGGCGTGTTAAGATTGTATTGTGTTTGCTATTCCCGGCCCCTTGCTTCCTGACCGCCCGTGCTCAGTTGCAAAGACAAGCGCAGTACAAGGACACGCGCTAGAGTGAGTGTGAACGCATGCGTTTCGTATCAATGTCTTATGTGCCAGCTAGTTTTCCGCAATGGCTCGCAGCACCAGCACCCCGACAAAGCGGGATCCCAGCGTTGCCCTCCAGTAACAAAACAGGACGTGAGCTTTGCGACGAAGGGGATCCAGCATTTGTTCAGCACCCCTATTGTGTTTCATTACCCCGGGCTCCTTGTTTCCTGACCCCGCACAGAGTCCCCTTGTCGGAGCCGCCTTCAGTAGTCAGAGGGACCTCCACTTCAGAAGCTCCGCAGTCAAAAGCACCTAATAACCAGTACCTATCCATATACTTTTTAGGAACCTTGCTGACTCTGCTAAAGCTGGTGCAATACCCCCCGCAGCAGGGACATGAGCAGTACAGAAGGTAAACACTAACCACGTAGCAGCCGGGGGCCCTGATCACTGAGGGGTACTAAGGACTTTGGAAACGAGGCTGCGAGGGGTTGGGATTTACACTTAGTTTCACGCCGACTCAACCGGACTTGGACTCAGGCGTGTGCAGGGGGGTTGGGGCTCCGTACCCCTGTCTCCCAAACGCCCCGCAAGCAAGCAAGCAAGCAAGCAAGCAAGCGAGAGAGACCGAGAAAGGAAAAGAGCAGAACCCGCCAATTTTAAGCCGTCCCTCGTGCACGGTCTCACCTTTTTTCTGCCTAACTAGGCAAGGGACTTTGGCCCGGAAAAAAGACCGGAAGCAAGACAGGAAGGAAGATAGGCAAAATACATTCCTTTTCATAGACATACACAACAGAACATAGTTACAGAAGTAAAGAAACAACGAAAGGCAGACAGACAAAACCCCACACCCACACGAACACACAAATCACAAAACGACACGAATTAATGACAAAACAGAAAGGAAGATAGAGAGCACACCCTGGCCAGCCCGGTGCGCCCAGAGTGCGAACGATTTGCTTTGAGTGCTTTTTGCACTGCCTGCAGCCCTACAAACGAAGTAGTAAGTAGGGTCGGCGTTCTGCATTTCTTCAACACCTCAGACTTGCAAATTCAAAGCGCCTTCATACTGACGCGGGCCGGCTTGTTGGAGGGCTTGCTGACATGCCAAAGAGTACTCTCTGGAATGTTCTTATGTGACGCATCTGCAAACGCCGGGATAGGATGCACCCATCTGGTTTGGGACTGGTCACTTTTTGGGATGGGAGGGAGACAGAGAGGCAGAGCCAGGGAGTGAGAGAAGCACAAATGCAGCGATGGTGCAAACAGCAATCGTAACTCGTAGTAACAACAGCGATCTGCAATCCCGTAGAGTAGATGAAAATGAGATGGGGCACCTTTCCTGGAGCCGAGGATTACCAATGCCTTGGGCGTGGGTGATGTCAAATACATGCCGGAGCTTCAGGGCTCCCAGTTTTTGTCGTTGGATCCTTTGTCGGGTTTCTCTTGATCCGACATGTCCTGTTGTGCATTGTCGTGCAACTTTCCCGAGCCAAAGCGATGCAGATCACGTGATTAACCAAGACTTCATGTGAGCCTTTCAGGAGCTCTTGAACATCAGCCACGGCATCGATGGCATCTCGCCGGAACGTGCTGTCTACCCGCTGACTTTTCACGACCAGAGGCCATCAGTTCTGTACTCCTCTTCGAGCTTGCAGCATCCGTTCGCTTGCAAGCAGCAGTTGTTCAGGTGATGTGGCCCTTGCGTGTGGCTGGCGTGACCTGTTTGATTGCTGCAGGACTTTCGAGGCTGATCGCTTCATTCCCACATTCAAAAATGGACTGGCTCCTTGGAGTTCGATGTGCACCTGGAAGTCGAAGCTCTTGACGAGCCGTATTGGTGACTATTGGTACCGTAAGTTCATGTCTTTGGGTTGCAGCCTATTTGGCTGCGCGCTGAACAACATTTGAAGCCAGTTGCTTGCGGTCACAAGTGTTTGGAGTGATGAAGCTGCATGTGTGTCCTGAATGTCGCTCTAGCAGGAACCGTAACAATGTTCCCATCCTTGCACTTCGTTCATTTCGGACGTTGGTGGCGGGCCCCCGAGGAGTTCCATCAGCAGCAAAAGTTCATGCTCGCCTGGCCATCAGCGGTTTCTGTGCACCATGGCTCTCAGAATCTCTCAAACAAAAGAACCATGCCGAGACTCCAAGGCTTTGCAGACATGTTGATAACCCTGATGTCTTTTGCGCAATTTCCTGCTTCGTGCTCCCGGAGCAAACAGTGAGGGAGTGGCGTTAGATGGCGAGAGCAAAACTTGAAAACATAGAACTGCACTCGATTTCCAAAATCAGAGCTTTCTTGCAAACTCTTCGGGCTCTGTCACAGAACCGAGGCGCCTTTTTGGTGGCTTCACCTTCACCAATATGGACGCTGGACCTCCCGGAAACTGTGACACAGCGGCAGGGGCTTGTCAGGTAATTCGATTGCATGCAGGCTGGATATCAGGATGCCGTACAATCACGAGTTGATCTGCTTTTGGAAGTTTGACAAACTTCGTAAGCTGCTGTGCTGCCCGAAAAGCATCAAGGTGGAAACGGACAGTGCCAGCCGTTCCCGGTGTATATGTTCAACGATGCAGAGCCTCGCTGTGCCTTGGCGAGCTGGTCAGGTTTGATTATCTTGTCACAAAGTTTCTGCAGACCTGTAGTGGACGGTTCAGTCGGAACGGGGGAAGCATGCAACGTATGCCGGACTGCGAAGTCTTGTTTTCGCTCAACGAACCAACGGCCGCTAATGCAGCTTCCTTGCCTTTAGGTTAGTGCAGGGGAGAACATCTGGGGACTTATGCAATCCCAGCCCTGAGAGAACATCCATTCACGATGCCGTGATGTGTCCTTCTCCGAGAGGTTTTCATCTCAAGTCTCTTGACACCGCCATCTGATTGCCGCCCGAGGTATGCCCACTCCGACGGAATCCCCCTTGGCAACTTCGTACGAGGCCGGTCAGTTGCTGGCAACTGGATACCTTAGTTCTTGATCTATGTCTGTCAGATCGTGAGCGATGTGTGAAGGGATTGTTGTCGGCAGAAGACAGCAAGCCGGCAAGGATAAGCTGCTTTTGTTCAATCGAGCTGGGTGGGATGTCCGCTCACCTCACCGCCTTCCCAAGACTGCCGTTTGGAGGGCTGGGTGTGCGAGCACCGCTGGGAGGGCATTGCTGGCCTCGTGGCTTTCCGGAAGGCATGGAACAGGGATGTCGATCAACTTGCTCAGATTTGGCCGAACCGTAGTCTGGAAAAGTGCAATTGGATGATGTGGTTGGTGGGGTTGATGGAAGTGCAGCTGCATCTAATCGAGCTGGTATGGGAGCGGCGGCGGCACTGCGTAGCCGGGGTCAGCTCACTCCCATCTTGGTCATAAGAGGAAGTCTGTGTTGATCGTCATCTCTACATGTACTCAGCACAGGTCGAGGAAGGCATTGCACTTTGTTTGACCCAGAGCACCCAATACACATGTCTGGGACTTCATATTGTAGAGCCATGGCATGATCAAGTTCTCGCTCGCCTTGTACACCCTCGGCCTAGCTGCCCTGAGAGTGCAAGGCGTGTCGTGGGCAACCCATCACGCAGACATGGTCGGAGTCGACCGTTCCATCTGTAGGCCTCGCGGGATCGGGTCAACATGAAGGGGCTGTCGGGATGTGTTGTGGTTGTGGCATGTGGTCCATGCTTGGGGCCTGTGTGCAGCAAGACCACCGCCTACCTAAACTGGCTGTGATGTGACACGCTTTATTCTTGAAGAGCCTCTTCACCATCTCAGCTTTTAGGGTTTGCAGGAGGTTTGGGGGTTTCCCGCAGACTCCACAAGAGTTGAGAACCGCATCAGGGCTCCAGCGCCCGGCTTCTGCTGATCAGGTCTAGGACAATTTGCCTTCCGCGCCGGTGGTGACTGCTTCGCTGCCCTTGTGCGGGGGGACAATACGCGGCCGCACAGCTCAAAATCAAGGTTGAGGGATGTTGAGTGCATGTGGAGTTGCACTTCTGCAGAACCTAGGCCCTAAACCCTTAATGGCTTGAAGTTTTCTCACTTCCTGAATCCAGAAGTGAAGAGGTGGCCCAACTACTGGGGCGACCTGGGACCTTGGCGGCTTGCAGGCTCCATGTCTTTGCTTCGTTGTTATGCTTCGTTGTTGGTCTATGTTCTGTGTTTGGTTGCTGCTGGAATCGACACGCCCGCACGTCCGGGGTTACCATACGAGCTTCTGAAAGTCTGAAACCTTGTCGCCTTTGCTTCTTTGCCGTGCCAAGGCCTTGCCCCAGGCCTTCCCCCTGGTCGCTACTGCCGCTTGGCTCTCGCGTGGGTTCTGGGCGAGTCCTAGTTTTATGTGGCGATACGGGTCTCCTTTCGGGGAGAACATTTGCTGTGCCTTCTTCCACCTTCCACCACGCAAGACTGAATCTGCTAGGCGACATGGCCTCTCTGACGACCCTGCGCTGTTGGGATCGACGGAGCTGCCCCAGGGAGGTCGCGCGGCATAATCCACGAAGCTCTTGCCAGATTCTGAATTCAAACGCTTCATCTCAAACTGCATCGAGCTTGCAACATGTCCTGCGATCTCAACAATCTCTCTCCCTCTGCATCAGAGCAGGTCGTAATTGGTTCGGATGGCTCGGCCACTTGGACTGCGACAACGCCAACTGCCGACGAGCGAGAGGAAAGGGGAAGCTTTTGAGATCACCCCTCGCTCCGACCTTCGCAGAAGTGCCAGGTTTGCATTTCGAGACGATTGCTCCACACGTGAGCGTTTCGAATGGACTCTTTACAGGGAAGCTCTTGGCCCGACATTCCGGAAACAGCATGCTTGGAGCCTCCCTTCCGAAACCAGTGCATGGATGGCTCTTTTTCAGGTGGTTACGGGAACGGTGCCTTGACTGCAGAGCGTCAGGGCCGTCAGGGTCCGCTCCGCTCATCAGGTCTCGACCTTGCTTTGGCGCTCGGGGCTTTGGGGTGGCTGGTGGTGGCCGGTGGTGGCCGGTGGAGAGTGGGCTTTGAGTTGCGGGGTCTTGTTGGGGCCCTCGAGCAGAGCCTCCCGCCATCTTTGCGCCTTGTTGTGGTCGCTTTGGTATGCTGTTCATATGTCTGCGCACATGTTTTCTTCAGAGCTGCTCTTACCCGTCCACGAGTCGTCCACGTGTGGCAATCCGGGTTCGTGCAATGCTTGCGAGGTGTGATTGGGGATTTTGGGTAAGGTATTTTCACAAATTCAGAGGTTTTGCAGACCTAGTTTGCTGGGTCACACGACGCTCAGAAGTGTGCAGACTTCGCAGCTGGGTGGTCAGGTCGCAACGAGCTTATAGGCCAGTAGAATTCCTGCGTGCGTCCAGCCAGAGTCCTCACCACACCCAGGTCCCCAATGGGGATCTCATGGCGATCTACGCGGGAGGGCGCCACCCGGCTCCAGACTGAACCAGTTGTCCGTCTGATTCAGGCATTTAGATTGATCGTGCTGTTGAGCGTTTACACCCTTCGAGTTCGAGTCTTAACGCAGCATGATCATTCGGACGAACAGCTTCGAACAGCCTTCAGATAAGAAGCACAAGAAGATGCTTTTGTTTGCGCTGCAGGAGGGGGGAGGGAGAGCGAGGGAGAGAGGGAGAGAGAGGGAGAGAGACAGAGAGAGGAGACGGCCAAATATGGATTGGGGAGACAATTCCTGAAGGTTCTTTTTCAGCGGTAAGATTCGATCATGTCCGTGTCTTGCGGCTCTTGGGGAAACAGAGACTCGGAGACAGCATGAGACAGCTACTGCTGGAGGCCTGGACGACACCACCGAGCCTTTCGTGTGCAACCCAGAGGATGTGGACGAGAACGAACTGTCGCAGCCTGCTGGGCATATTGGAAGTAGCTTGCATTGCCTGATATTCTCCAGGAAATCAATATCTTCAATATCGAGGGCTCGGGGATCAAGGGACGGACGGCTGACAGTGCCCTGTTCATTGTTTGGAGCTTCAGTTTTCCTGCTTCCTTTTTCGGGGCTTGGCACTCTGCCCCGAGCTTGTGACGCGAGGCGTGAAGACTATGCATGTTTTTGTGTGTTTCCGTGTGGTCGCTAGTTGTTGTCCTCCCTTGTGCCACCATGAAAGCAACAAGCAATGTTGACACCCTATGCTTGGAGTGGTTTAACCCCCATCCAGACTAATTTGTCGATGCTGCTTGAACATGGCGTGTTTGTAAAGACTAAGGATGATTTGATAAAAGCGCTTGTGTCTAAGATAATAAGGGTCTGCAGTTCGCGTGTATTATTCCGGGGTAGGAGTGGCAGGTTTGCCCTACAATGGTTCCATGGTGGACAGTCAAACCCCAGCCGGCTGGGTTATGCTACAGATGCATATTGGTTTAGACAAGAGCCGTCTCTAAAAACGTTTGTGGCCTCTGGTGAACATGGTCGAGATGGACAAAAGCTGCATTGTTGGATTGCGTTGGGGTAGCCTCTGAGAAAGAGGATTTTTCGTTTTAGGGGTGTAAAAAGAGGACGCAGGTCGAGAGAGGTTGTCATGTAGGTTCTGTAGTTCATTCCAGAACTTGTCCTCGCGTGTTTCATCCGCCAGAGGGTCTCAATTGGCTAGGTGCCTCGGAATGCAAAAACCGACACCTCGCCCCTGGACCGAGGAAGGCAACGGCTCACATGATTGGGCAAGCAGCAGTTTTCTTGCTCCTTGTGAGCTGTTTGTGACGAAGGCTGATCTGAAGGTTATTTCTTGCGAAAGCACATGCAAGTCTACATGACACCACGGCTTCAGCCACAGCTCTTGGTGAGCATGAGATGCATCATGTCTGTGTGTAAGTAGATTTTCTTCTACATCCCTCTGATGCATGGCTTTCTCGTAGCAGTGCGAACAGTACGCAGAGGTTGACCCACTGCCGGCATTCCTCTCGGTTTGCTTGGAGAAGCCACCTTTCCAATTTAGAGTGGGCGCAGAAGGTTGCACTATCCGTTATCCTGAAGTCTGATACCTGCAGCGCCCCGCTGTGCATTCTCTGTCCTTGTCCAAGAAGCTGGTCCTAAGCTGCACGCTCCGGGTGTCGAGCTAAGATCAAGAAGCCAGGTCATGTTCCGACTTCCATGTTGAGTGACTAGCATCTGTGATCCTTTAACTTCAAAGGCATTAGCGTTTGGGCTTGCAGGCGGAGGTCGTCTAAAGTCTTGAGGTCCTGCGTTCCCGAAGAGCTACAGTGCCAGACCTGCAACGCTTTCAGGGATCATCTCGGACCGGCAAACCGAGCACTCGACATCTTCCGCCGTCTAAGACGTGGAAGCTTATAGAGCCTGATTTGAGATCTGCAGGACGCAGGCCAGTTGAGGTAGAAGCGTTTGCGACGACCTTGCTGTTCGCCTTCATGCGTGTTTCTGGTATGGTCTTGGTACACAAGAGCCGAACGCCCTTCCTTAATACGGATGCTTTTGGGCCTGCAGTTTCTGTCAGGCTCTTGAGAGCTGCAGCCCGCGGTCAACTAGCCTCGGTGCACGGGGTCATGTCATCCGAGAAGGTTTAGCTGGTGGTCGCCGGTGTAGGGTGTTCTAGTCCATAAGAACAGAAGTGGATGAGTCTGCATGTTTCCACTATTTCTTGGGCCGGCGCTCGTCGAGCACGGCGCCTGGACATTGAGGAGATGCTCGCCTGCCGTCACACCCTATTAAGGCCCTGAAGCATGCTCAAACTCACAGGATCTCAGAAAACTCAGAAAACCCTTCAACTCAACAGGTGTGTTTTCGCAAGCATTCCTGGCTTCAGCCAGCAAGGGATTGGTTCTGTGCAAAACTCCTTAAACAATAAAACTCCCAACCCACGAACCAAACACCTAAAACCCCTATGCCACAAAACCCTTAAATGTGGCGAGCCCTCAACCCCTAAATCTCAACCCTCAGACCCCGAAACTTGACCAAACGATCCTCAAACATCCAAATTCCTAATCGTCAAGCCCCTAAACCCCGATCCCTACCCCTACAACCCTTAGACCCATGGACCGCAGATCCCCAAAATTCGCAGACACCGGGGTTTGGGAGTTGACGGGTTTGCGTGCTTCAGGGACCCAAAGCCGGAGCCGGAAACCACAAACACCAGAAGCTTTACAGCTCAAAGTCCAAACCTTTTTCTAGCTCTGTTGTTTTAGGCTACAGCTTTACAGGCTTATAGATGATTCCACAATTGCCATCCGAAGTTCAGCGCAAATATACTCTGTTTAGTGGCTGTGCAGAGGGTTTTGTTTGATGTCCAAAGAAAAAACATCCACGATTGATTTGCGACCGCCACAATAAGCGTCATTTTTTAATCAATACCGGTTGCTGAGGGTAGTCAGCCACGCCCACCAGAAAAAACCGATATGAAACACGCGAACAGAATGACAACACTGGGGTGTAAGTTATGCAGAAAGCCCCGATAGAGCAAGTGCAGGCATCAAAGCCCGCAAGATATAACATATCTATTCAATAACCGCAGACAAAAAATGAACACACGAACATCGGAAAGAAGATCTAATTACGCAGTTTTTTGCAATGGAGAATTACGTGTTTGCTGTGACACCCATGACAGGCATCAAACCTGCAAAATTGTAAAACACCTATTCCGTCACTGGAAAATCCGAATATTAAGCGCACAGCCAGGACATAACATACACGTCGAGTTGTCTCATCAACTAGTGGTTGCATAAAGACATAAGCAACGACCATTCACAAACAACTTTCGAAACCAAGTGTTTAGGGTGCAAGCTTCGTAAACAAATCCACTTGAGCAAGGGAAGGCATCAGAACAAAATACAATGCTTATCCAGTCATTGGAAAATTTCAGTGTGAAGCGCGTAAGCAAACCGACAGTTAACGAGCATTGAGATTCTAAGCCACTCTGTAGCTCTGTGGAGCTTGCGGTGGTTGTCGTTTACCAATTCACCTAAGCAGCAGCAACCCAGGTCAAAATCGTGTTCAGAACCTTGCCTGGTCCTTTTGCCATTGTAAAAGGAGAGGGGGAGGGGTGGCAGTGGGGAGGGCCCCGCTCTCCCCCCTCCTTAAGGTGGCACCATCGTTACGTGCGGCCGTGCACGTGCACTTGGTTTTCCTGCAGGTTTCAAGCTGCATGGCAATTCAAGCACGCATCTGCCTAGCTTTTGCACTTTCTGACAAGTATTTCTGCCTATAGCCAATCTTGCCGTTGCACATGCAGCTGTGTGTGTTGCGACTGTTGGTGCCCCTGTCTAGGGTTGCATGGTGTGTATTCGCATGTCGGGCCGGTGCATGCCAAGCAGCTTGCTGCTTGTTTTGAAAGTGAACTTCAGGACAACTCTTAGCATTCAGCGCATTTAGCTAAAGAGAGCGTGTTGTTTTGACGTCTTTGAGCACATCACTGACAATATGTCCTTGACACACGAGGCCAGACGTTGGTTGGCATGTGCCGGCCCCGATATGCCAGTATACCCATGAAATTTTCAGTTGTACTTAATTATGCCAAACCTTCTACGCTTCCTTCCCCAGGTTTCGTGGCCCTCTTCTCAAGTAAATAGTTAAATGTCGGAGTAACGTACAGTGTAGGCTGTAGGCCATGTGGAAACCCGGATGGCCCCTGCAAGGCGTCGAAGCCGACAAACATATAAACTACATAACCCATCGTCGGAAAATCTGAGTATGACGCGCTCAAGCCGGATAACAACACTGCAACACATTTAAAAGTTGAGGAATATCGGCTTGGCAGTACAGTGTAGATTATGTAGAAACCCCGATGGGGCAGTGGAAGGCGTCAAACCGCAGCAGAGGCGTCCTACTCACTTGATCTCACTTGTTTACATAGATGAGGATATGTTTAGGGTGCAGGTTCTGTAGAAAACCCCGATGAGACAATGGAAACCCACCAAAACCAGAGCGAACCAGTTAAATTACTGGATAGTCCAAATATGATGCTGTGAAACAGAATGCACAACATGCAGAGCGAAAGCAGCAAACGCAGCAACTGTTTTTACATACAGGTCGGTGTTAGGAAATAGGTTGGTATAGACACCCGATGGAGCAATGGAAGGCATCACAATCCACCAAGACAATAAAACACTCATTCAGTCATTGGAAAATCCCACCGAAGCAAGGAAACAACGAAGAGACATAACTAACGAACGTAGACATTTACAGGAAAGCTTGTACATAGAAGGTGAAGTGAGGCTGCACCCCCCCACTCCCCCCCCGGCTTTCTTGTAAGGCCTTGCGCACTTGCTTTAACGTACGTCACGCCATCACGACAAGTTGCTTCGAATCCTGCGTGAATCATTTGCAAGTCCGCCATACGAGCACGGTCTTTGTATTTCCGAACCCGTGATATGAGACCTGTGCTTGCCGACGCGGGGGTGCACCCGACACACACGACCCACCCGTTGTTTTTCAATCCTTGCAAGCTTGCTTTGAGGTTCATCATGCCGAACATGAGCATTGATTGTGCGCACGGGAGTGGGCTGAGGACAAGAGTAGTGTATTTGGAGCATCCGAACGAGCAGCAGTGTGTAATCTTACAGCATTTATATTTGGAGCATTCAAGATGCGAATGGGCCTAATAATATGGCTGGACTTTGGTGAGCTCTCATGCCACTGAGTCGGTGCAGTTGCAACTTCTCCTCCATGTGAACCCTTGCGGATTCCCCGCCAAGCTGCGGCGCCAGGCGACTTGCCACCAGAGCAGGGGCCGACCACGCCTAGGGGGCGAAGACGAGTCGAGTGCTTCCACGTCTATTGCCCATTATCAAAACTCGGTTGGTCGGGTTGTATCGTTGCATACAAGCCGGTGCATTTCACGTGCAGCCCCATTGACTCGTAAGTTCCTTCGCCTGGCCACAAGCGCCTCGCCCGAGCCAGAAGCGTGTCTTGGGGGTTGCTTTCGAAAAGCGGGCATACCTGCCCGCACCATGATCTGGGATCTGAGCTGAGAGTGGAGCATGTTTCCATGTTAGCCCAGAGGCCCAGAGGGCCAGAATTTTTAAGGGAGATTTGAAAAGGGGCTGCGACTCAGAGAGCTTGAGATTAAAGTAATTAAACTGGAAAACACGCCTCTCTTGTTTCCGTTTGTTTTCCGTCCGTCTATCCAAGTTTCCGTCTTTTCCTCGAGCTACTGGAGTTTGTTGGCTGCGTTGAGCTGCATTTGTGTGTGTGTGTGTCTGTCTGAGTGTATGTGTGTGTGACATTCTGCGACCGCAGGTTTGCATCTAACCTACTATGTTTCCTAAGTAGTGCGGTGCACACATGCGCACGCAATGGAGTCCTTACGTGCAGAGTAAAGAGAACTAATTGTTGTTTCCGCACGGACGTTCCCAGATTTGCGGCTCTTGCTGTGGTGCGGTGCACATTTTGCACCATGAATCCCAATCCCGCCAGCATATGGGGAGAAACACAGGTGCCCTGCTCCTGAAATGCGATAGCACTTCGGAGAAAGCATATTGGACGTGGTCCAGAATCCGATGGTCTGCTAGTGCTCCGCTGGTCTTTTGGTGGTTTCTGTGGTCTTCTGGTAGGTCTCCTGGTGGTCTCCTGGCTTTCTTTTGGTGGTCTTCTGATGGTCTCCTGCTGGTCTCCGAGTTGTCCTGGTCGTAGCGGTCGTCCTGGTGATCTCGTCTTGGTCTCCTAATTGCCTTCGTCGTAGGGGTCCTCCTGGCGGTCTTGGTGGTCCTAGTGGTTTCCGTTTGTGGAACTACACGGGCATAAATACAAAAGCAAACCAAATAATCTGACTAAATAAATACATGAACACACAAACATATATATATATATATACATACATACATATGTATATATACACATATATACATATATATATATATATATACACACATTTATCTGGTAACCCCCTCGGACCAACCTCCGCCATGAAACTGATCATGTCTGTACTTGTGTTGCTTCGAAATATCGAAAACCCTGTAAATACCGAGAGATTTTGTGTTGGCCGTTACGGTCTTGCTTATATGAGTCACAATACAGTTTCAAAAAGCATGTTACAATTTCGTGAGTCTCTTTCTTCTGGTGTTACGTACTCTCCTGTCCTCTCTCATCGTCTAGCTGTATTTTAAACATGGTACGCGACGCGTCTTAACACATGTATATTAGCATAGTAGTAAATTCGTATATTAGTTTTTAGCATATTAGTATATCAGTATATTGGGGTAGTTAGTTTTTTTAGCGGTATATTGGTAGCACGGTATATGACAATACTGAGTCTTGTGTTTTGTATTTCATTTTGTAGCATGTATATGGGTATACAGTAGTGTATGTGTATGTATATATGTATTCAGATTCAAGTACTGACATTATATTCATAAATATGAATATGAATGGGATTATCGTATTAGCCTTGTTGTTCGTGTAAATGCTAGTATTGATACTAGTATTGAGAACTGTTAAAAAGAATTTAGGTGCTAAGAATAGTAAATGAAAATATGAGTATCAATATGTGTAGGAATTCCAAGGAAGACGAGTATTAATAGTACTAACATTACTATGAGTAAAAGTATTCATGAGAGTATCAGTATTCATATTAGAAACGATATTGGCACTATTTTTGATACTAGTAGTAACTGTTTGTTCATAGGAGTATTATTGGTTTGAAATGTAATGTTAGCAATAATCAATATTAATATTGACATACCTACCAAACAACATGAATACGAATACGAATATGCATACATCAGTACCATGCATAATAAGAGTATGAATAATTTTACTCGGGTTTATAGATGTACGCGCATGGATATAAGCATTAGTATGTATATTAATATGAGTATTAGTCATACTATCTACGAGACTATGCTTATTAGTATTCGTAGGAACAGTAGTATGTATCTTAGTAGTGTAGCATAGCATATTCGTATATTGACGTACTTGGTATAGTGGTATATTGGTACGTTGGTATATGAAAGTACTGATTCTTTAAGACATTGTTGCGTGCATGTGTCGGTATTTCATTTTAGTAGTATGTATATTAGTGTACAATAGTACATGTGTAGATATATATATATATACTAGTATTCGTACTAATATTTAATCTGAACATGAATGGGATTATCGTACTAGCTGTAGTCTTCGTGTGAATGTCAATATTAATATCAGTACAGAAAAAACTGTCAACATTGTTAGAAGGATTGGGAGAATTCGTATTAGCATCAGTGTGTGTATTGGTATTAATATCACCTACTGTATGAATATGATTATTAGTATTCGTATGAAAACAAAGATTCATAGTATTAACATTACTATAAGTATAAGTATTCGTGCGAGTATTAATATTCATTTTAAGACCAATATCAGTATAAGTACTCGTATAATTTTTAATACTCGTATTAAGATTAATTTCTGATGTGAATACGAATATGTTTGTTCGTAGGAGTACTATTAATAGTAAGAATTAATACCAATATTGATATACATACCAAAAAATTTTTAATACGAATACGAATATACTAATACATTAGAACTATGCATAATAACAGTATGAAACATTGTTCTCGCAGGAGTCATACTTGTATTGATATATGTACTCGCATATGTTAAAGCATTCGTATGCACATGAGTACTGGTTTTACTGTTAATAAGGCTACGTTTATCACTAGTCTAGTCGTAGGAACATTAGTTTTCGTATTCGTATGCGTATTAGTATTGCTATAAATGTTAGTATATTGTATTAAGATAATACTAACATTAATACCCATATTGGTTTTACTGTTAGTATTGCTATGAGTATTCATACTCTTTAGAGTATCAGTATTCATATTGCTATGAATATCAGCATTAGTATTGGGTTTGTGTGCAATACCAGTCTTAAGATTAATATTCATATGAATATGGCATTTTTTATTGGTAGGAGTAATAATCTTAGTATTCGTGCCTAACCTATATATATATATATACATATACAATCATGTTCATACATTAGGGGGTGTGGGCATACAAAGGTTTGATGATTGTAAAGGTTATGGACCAACATCTCATGAAACGTTAGAGAATCTATAAGACACGTTATGCTTACAACAATACGTTAACCTTCGTATTTCCAAGAAACCCAAAAGTTTCAAAAACTGCCGCAAGAAATTTCTCAAATACCAGAATTCTTTTCTTCCGAGAATTCCCAAAATTCCACAAATTCCGAGCATTGCAAGAATTCCCCAAATTCTAAACATTCTGAAAATTCCAAAAAATCCAAAATTTCCAAACCCTACAGAAGGAAGTTTTGGAACTGCGAAATTCGAAAATTCATTAATTTCTTTCGGATATTTTTGGAATTTTCAAAATTTAGTATGGTGAGTTTAGAATTCTTGAAGTTTATAAGGTTTCATGTGAAAGGTTGGCCTACAGGGGGGGGCGGCTAGCATATATATACATATAGATAGATAGGTTAATACATACATAGAGAAACAGATAACTACATAAGTGTGTATATACATATGTGTATGTCTGTCTGTTTGTCTGCCTGTCTGTCTGTCTGTCTGTATGTATGTATGTATGCACCTACACGCATCTATGTATATATATATATATATACATACATGTGTACACGTACAGACGGAGAGGCTTCGGATGACCAAGCGACGATCTTAAGGCCAAAAAATGCAAGCATGTATATACGCAAGTAAACCACAAGTAAAAGCAAGCAGGAACACGTAGGAACAAATAAGTCAATGAACTAATGCATGAAGTGTGCAGGTTTATTCTGGTCAGTCTGCCGCAAGCAAGATACTGATTGAGTGGTGATACCGAACTACCCCCCGCCTACTGATAGGTTTTGGACATCACGCGCACACATGATCGATTTGCATTGATGCCTCTTGGGATCAAGGGTTTTGAAGCCGCGAGGTACTTGTACTTGACCAAGTTTACCGGCCCGATGACGCATATACAAAGACCCCGTAGCATTGTGCTGGCTTGTCCTCAGCACACGATGGATGTACAGGCAGTTGCAAGTCTAATTGTTGGACTCGTTCAACGTGTTGCTGGTGACTGGGTAGTCGGTTTTCTTCCAGTAGCGGTTTTTGCTTTCATGACAGGTTCTGATCTGAATTTAGCAAAATTGTCACTGGTGTGCATTTCTGCTCAGTAACGCTCTTGACTTCCATCCTGTTGCCCAAATTCCAAGTAAGTTGGTGCACGGCAACACATGGAGTCCACCCACGCAAGTTGGGGCTGCAGTTCTTGCCTCCAATGAAACAGCAACAGCGCCCGAGAATTTCTCGCCAGACAAAGTCCATCACAATGTCAATGTCTGGGGCCATCGGCCGAATTACTCATAACTGCACAACCGATGCCGGCAAAAACCTCTTTCTGCACTGATGTCCTTACATCAAGCATAGCTTACGATTCGATGCAAGCGTCTTGTGTGTGCATTCGGGCGGGCACTCGTGGAGGGTTGATGGGGCTTCTCCGGCCTTTTTGCATCGTGCTTTGCTGACAGGTTTGCCTTTTTGCATCGTGCCTCGCTGACGTGCTTGCCTCCTGCGCCCGCTTGTTTGCATCTGAGAGTCTATCTTTGTCCTTGCTGTCAAGTTGCTCTGCGTGCGTTCAAGAAGTGCAGGGCTGAGTTCTAGCTGCCATGACAAGAAGCCCTGCTCGCTGAGTCAACGCGTCGCTGTCGACAAGAAGGCAGCGATGCGACCTGGGCAGAAGCTCTTCGAGTCGGGGCCGGACAACTCGACATGACTCCCCCCCAAAGGGGGCCTTTGAAGGACCTGGAGCCATTCGTCGTGGCTCCTCAGAAAGCCACCCGAAGGTTCTTGCAAGCTTCTAACTTTCCTTGGCCGCCCCCCTCTTACCCCCACTTCCACATTTGCTAGAAGAGAAAAAGATCTGCAGCAGTTGCTGTGCGTTTGCGCCCAAGCAAGTCTCATTCACAAGTCGCTTGGCTGCATTCGGAGCCGTGACGTTGCCTGCTTTCATTTTGCTTTCAGCTGTTGCATATGCAAGCCACTGAGTCATCGTAAGCACAGCCAGCCCCAATCATGGAGGTTCGAGTTTTTCGTGTTATTAGATTTTGCAGGGTTTGCTGCAGCCAGAGCATGACATTGTGTGTTCTAGTAGCAGTTTTCACGTCCCCAACGGGCTCAGCATTGAATGGGAGCTTCCAAGAATGGTGCAAGTTGTAGGTTTCCAAAGTTTCCATGTGCAAGAATTGGCTCCTTCTTTAGTTTGGCTAGCTTCTGAGATCCATAATTAGGCATCAAGTCGCATTAGCTGCTCCTCTGGAGCCACCTCACTCCTTGCAACCCCAGCGGCCCTAGCGACAAGCACGAGACCCGCAGAGCTGCGCTCTTGCCGATGGGGGCCCCGGCCTCGCCTGCCTCCGTGATCGGCCATGTGGTGCATCCGGCCGCTTAATGCTCCCACGGTGTTGTCGTTGCTCAGATCTCCGCCTACGATCATCATACAAGCCTGGCATAAACCTTGCGGCAATGCTCGACAGAAACAGGGTTCTCGGTTTCGTTATACGGCTTGCTGAAGGCGTGTTACAGCTTGCTAGAGGCGTTTCGAAACCGTTTAGCGTCTGTGGCTTTGAGATCGCTGTGCCGGGTTTGTGCGTCTGGGCTCAGAGACAATCACGATCCAGTCACGAACTACCTGCACCAGCGCACCGTGCGCTGGGCACATCCGATTCCGAACATGCTACCCGGTGTCAGTTTGGCTGTAGGCTATGTCCAATGTCCGTCTACAACGGACCTGCAAGAGACAGTCTACCTGAAATGCTGCTGCCTGGGATGCTTCAGGATAAGTCAGGGCATACCAGATGCTGCTGCTTGCCAGTCGGACTGGGCGCAGCTCATGCAGACTGTCACCCGTTAGTGTGCTCAGTGGCTCAGGCATGGATTACTTTTCCTATGCGCATGCAAGGACCAGGTACAGCCACGAAACACGTCGCTCGCAGAGTTTACTGACAATTCGTTGCCACTTAGTGGCCCATCTAAGGCTTCTCTACTGGCTTAGCTGGCTCGTCTTGCTGCTGCCTTCATCTGCGTTGCTGCGGCGGCGTAGTGTAGTCCTCTTGGCTGCAGAAGCGGCTCGGAGGCTCCGGCTTGGGGTTGTCGAGGAAAGGCGCTGGCCCAACGCCAGGCCGACAAGCCCATGCTGGGCTTGCCGAGGCTTTTGCATGTACTCGCAGCGCGATTTTGAGTTCCGATGCCTATGTGGTCATGCATTGCATGCATGTTCACGCTTCATGGCGATTTTGTGCCAGAGACTGCAGTGCGAGTTTTAAGAGGCAGCGGTGTTGTCGGACCCCTCTCTGGAGACATGCTCTCCATTGGTGCCACTTTGCTGCGGTTGCGTTCATGGCTTAGGGTCTGCTCTGTGATTTTGTGATGTCTCTAAAGTCCTTAAAACAGTTTCCTGACGCATGAAGAACTCAAAGATTCGGCGCGGAGTTCCACCGTGTTGTAGCCAAGCAGTTTGCGCTCCAAGCTAGCTTTGGGCTGAGGAATCACGAGAGCTTCTCGTCGGTAGAAGTGCGGCTAGGTGGGGTGCCAAGCCAATGGTGGGTGCTAGCAGCTCCAATCATCGAAGACAGCTTTCATTGAAATTTTGCAATCCAAGTTGACGCAGGGACACCTGCCCAGAAGTTAAACCTGGTGGCAGACACGGGCAGCAACAATGTGCCCGAGAGGCATTATCAATTCATGACGAGTGTGGGTGTGCAGAGTTCTTAGACATGTATGGCCAAAGTAGATTGAAGGTCTTTTTGCAGGCGAACACTGCACTGCAGTTGCAAAACAAAGCTGCAAAAAGGGCGCAAACCTCTGCGACCCTCTGCAGGTTTCCAAGAGGGCTTCGCTTGGATGCAAGGCTGACACTTTCCCTTATGGAAAGTAGCTTTGCTGCGGCTCTTGTATCAGGATTCGTCCGGGAGGAGGCAGCTGTGATAGGCTGTGCGACGGCAGCAGAAGCCACCAAACTCTGTCCGGTTTGCGCTGCACCCGACAACAAATATGTGTGAAGTTCAGCTCCAGGTAATCGTGATGTCCTGTGCCTGCCTTCTGACGAAGAGCTGCCCCGAGTCCTTTGGCACTTGCTTCCGAGGTGCCCCACGGGGGGCCGGGGCCAGGTTTCGTTGGAGTCTTTCCCGACACCGTATAGTTGTTCTTGCCGGCATGAACGAGTCAACCAGTAGACATGGGAGATTCGACTTCGGTCCGAACTACGAGGAGGACATGTGCCCACATGTGGAATCTTGGCAAGATCAATCCATGACCCAAACCTCCAAGCTCCTGCGGCCTCCAAGCTTGATCGGGGAATTGATGCTAGTTGGGTCGCGAAAGGGATGACCTGAGCTTGGCGCTGCAAGAAGTATGAGTGTTAAGATTTCAGCAGGCAAGCCGTGTTCGCACTGAATCTCGCCCCCTGGGAAAACGCCAGAACTGCACTCAAAGTTCTGCTGCAAACTCCCGTGCCGCCTCCAGCGGAGATTGAAGCCCCAGGGGTTATTCAATATTGAAAGTGTCAAGCACCGGATTGCGAGGCGAGAACGCCTCAAGCACCTTCATGCTGCGGAGTGCCTCTGTCCTGGGCAGCGTCCCACGGGTGCGAGGGCAGCGACGGAGGGAAAAGGCCACGTAAAAAGTGCCCCAACGGCGCAGGAAAGCTCGGGCTCGCCAGCGCCACTGCCCGAGTCGCTGCTCATCGAGTTCGGCTCGGGTCGAATCGGTGCCTTCGCCACTGGCCTGAGATTTGATCCGAATTCACGATTGGGCCGGGCTTCGCATGTCCGGGCTTCCGAAGACTGCAGGCTTGTATGTGCCTAGGCGCTGGAGACGCCAGAGTTGTGCGACGTTGGCCTGAACTGGTCAGGTTGCTAGCGACGTGGTCCACGTTGGCTCCGTCCGAACTTTCTTGGAGGCTCGGAGGGCAACCTAGAGCGGTTGGAGCGGCTCGAGAGCAGAGCGGCTAGAGCTCAGCTTCTTTTTGATCCTCTCTGTGGTTCCCACGCGTCAGGACTCCCTGCTGCTCATGGTGAAGCAGCAGCTCGGTGCAAGTCTGCGGCATACATATTTTCGGGCTTGCTGGGGCTTTGCCGTGGCGTCCAGCTATGTAGAATGATCGAGCTTTTCTTGTCCGGTCCTCTGCTGAGCCACCTACACCCTACGCTCAGGAGCTAAACCCAACCACACTTCCTACCCTCAGCGCAACTTCTGTGCCATGCATCCGAGGAAACTCAGCGTCCCGGGCCCCTTCGAAGGCGCCTCCAGATCTAGGGTGAGCTTCTCCGGCAGGGTGATGCAGGGTGCATGAAGACATCCTATATTAAGCTGGCTTCCACGCCCAGAAAGACCGACGATGAACTGTTTTTTGTTTTGGATGCACGTCCAAGAAGTGCGAATCAGGCATCCTTGGACTTGGGCAGCCACCGCAGGGCGAGGCTTTGTGTGTCTTTCTTGTCTGACTGGGTCCCTGCGAGCGCTTTGGAATGCGATTTGTGCAGTTCAGGAGAACGAAGTCGCTTTCAGGTTGAGGCGGTTGGGGATCTTGGGGTGCTTGACTGGGATGCCCATCCAACGAGGGATGGCATTACAAGGGAAGCTTTGCGGAACCAGATGGCACGTTGGAAGATGTGCCTGCAAATCGTTGCCGTGCTTGCAGGCGGCCGCCAAGAAGCAGCTAGTATCTGGCTTCTTGGAGCAGGCGTGGGCTTCTAAAGTAGGGTCACAGTCCGAAATGTTGTGCAAGAATGTCGTCAACGAGAGGCTCAGACCGGTCTTTTTCACAGAAGGGTGATTGACACTGCCATCGTACTCTGCAGAATTTGATGCCACTTCTGTTTCTGTATTGATGTACCGCATTGACGAGCACGGCTGCAGCAGACGCATGTGCAAACTCAAGTTCACATAGCAGCCATCAAACAGCCACAGGAGTCAACAAAGGGTCACGCCGATCGCGGATAACTCCGTCTGAATGCAACTACAACCGACCTCGCACAAGCTTGTGTGCAGGACAGCTGTTGCATCGCACTTTAAGGTTTGCTGTTCCATTAGAAGAGCTCGACGGAAGCATTCAATTCGATTTTCGCCAAATCAACGCGAACAACTTGCAGGCATCAGCGTCATTTACCTTTTCTCCGCAGGATGTTTCAATTCTGACGATGCATCAGAATCGTGTAGAGTGAATCTGGAAAGTGGGGGATGCGTCGTCTGGAGACTCCACTGCCAGGAATAGCTAAAGCGCGCACCAGGGAAACTATAGTCGTGCCTCTCGCCTTGAAGCCGTAAGTCCAAGCCTTGAAGAGATGCCACGCAGAAGCTGTCTAGTCAGTGACTTGGAAGTGTACCCTCGGAAATTCTGTGGCATGTTCACATTTGTAAAGGGTAATTCCCTTTTGGTCGAAATCGAAGAACGAAGAAGAACTCATAGCAAACATCGTTATGACTACCGCGAGCGCCATTGATGGATCACAAACTCAAGCGCTTGCCTGCGAGTCAGTTTTCCAAGGAAATCAGGTTTCGTAAATTAAATCCAACAAAGCTTTGACCCAGCAGCCGGCAAGGCGTAGCAGCAAATGCGAGCACTGACACGCCACCCAGCTTTTCGATAAAATGATTCACACAAGACTTGTATGGTCTACATCAATGGATGCCATTGTAAGATTATTTGCCGACGAAGCAACTTCATTTTGATTGTCTTGCTAAAGCCATCATGAGCAGCCATCGGGAGCGAAGAACATGCCTCTGATGCCGTCAGGCAGGCAAGTAGGATACCATCACAGCATAATGAGTGAAACCGCTACAGGAAGGGCTCCTTAGCCTTGAGTCCAGCGGCAGTCTGAAGTTAGCAAGGCCATCGGCATATGAGCCAGAGGCTCTAGGCGGCAACAAGGCGATAAGATGCAGGGTTTATGGACGTCGGCAGAAGCCAGGCAAGCATCCAGCGATTCTCGATGTGCTTCAACTATGAGGCACCTGTTGACGCTTAGGGTTTCGTCAGCCCAGAGAGTTTGCGCCGTCAAAGCATGGGATGCATGGTCAGCTGAAGACTTGGAGGATGCAGCGGCTCAGAGTCTGGTGCTTTTTTACCTACGAGTCCTGGACATCAACACACAACGCGGACTACTACTACTACTACCACTACT